GTCCAGGCCCAGAGTTCAGGCTCCACGACCGGACCCCCCCCCCCAAAAAAAAAAGAACAATCTAAGTCTTTCACCAACCTGTCTCTGCAGATACACACCTGGTCAACATTTAAACTACTTCCCTGACTTATGTAAAACCTAATTATGAGTATTATCTGCCACAAAGGAAAGGATTATACACAAACTGAATCCCAGCAGGAGTGACTACTGGACTAACTTTCTGCTACGCGGTTCTCTTAACATTGGACATTTGAGAGGTTCCTTTAGATAGTGTGGGTTATCAGGTCTGAGATCACCAGTGTGTAAGTTCCCTCCATTAGGACAGCAACTAGGTGGGTGCTAATACTACACAAAGTTATTTGGACATAGTAAAAGTAAGGAGATAAACGTTTTCTCTTCCTATGATCTTCCTTTTTTTTCTCCAGTTATGGGGATTGATTTTAGGGCTTTTCATGTGCTTGAGAACACTCTACCACTGAACCAATCTTCAAGCCACTGGTATTCTGAAACATTGAAACAGCTCAGGCTGGCCTTGAACAATGCTGCCTTCAAACTCACAATCCTCCTGCCTCTGTCTCTTAAATGCTGAAATGACAGTCATATGCTACCACATATGCTAATTCCCTAGGTACCCAACTCTAATCTATGTAGGATATGATGCAAATGCTTCATAATTGTGTTAAAGGAATATCCTAGCCTGCCAAAGCATTTACATAGATTTACTAATGTACAGAAAAGCATGAGTATTTCTCATACTTCATGGACTGAGTAATGTGGCTTCCATGGTCCATTAGGCATTGTAGAAATGAGAATACAAAGTAAAAGGAGAAATAAAAAGATTTTAGGTTTTGAACTTGACCAAAGTCAATACCAATCATTCTATAGACTGTTTATAAAGGAAAATGTTAAACCATTTTGTATTTTATAATTTTCAAATTTTTTCAAAGTTACATAGCATACCTTGCTGAGCTAATGTTGATCTGAGCATCCCAGTTTTTGACCAAATTTTGATTTGTCCATCTTCTCCAACTATACAGAGGGGGAAAAATATTTTTATCTGTAGAAAATAAAATTCAGTTTCTGTATATACATATCAAAGTATATTAATGTACAGTTAAGATACAACTTATTCTAATTGAACAAGTGTGCTATAACTATGAAATGAATAGGCATTATTTTCAAACAATTTCATCAATGTAGTCTTTCCTTCAACAAAAACCTTATGAACATGCTATTACACTATTACTGTAATCTCCACTTTGAATTGTAGGAAGTAATTTCAGTGTAGTAAGAACTGCTACAGCCAAGTGCCAGTGAGCTGAGGAGTAAACCAAGTAAAATAGTAGATTGCTCTTGAATAGCTTAGCTGAAAAGGGAAGAAAAGGTTGTAGCTAGAGAGTTGCTGAGGGGATTTTATTATATATTTACCATTTCAATTCTTTATTTCATTTGGATTCATTTTATTCCATTCTATTCTTCTTTATTTTTGCAATCAATGCTGTGGATTGGACCTGGGGTCTTCTGCATGCCAGATTACTGCTCTACCACTGAGCTGCATCCTCAGCCTGAGATTATATTTCCTTCCTGCTCTAAAAGGACACAGTTATATGCTGAAAAAGAATCTTCTTGAAAAGGGGAAGCTAAAAGTACAGGTGAGGGAAGAGACCATTCAGTGAAAAAAGTCCCACTACAGAAGGCCTGGAGGGGGCTGGGAAGGTGGCTCAGTGGTAGAGCACTTGCCTTGAATGCTCGAGTCCCTGGGTTCAGTTCCTCAGCACGACATAAGCAAAAAGAAAAAAGCCAGAAGTGGTGCTGTGGCTCAAGTGGTAGAGCGCTAGCCTTGAGCTGAAGAGCTGAGGGACAGCGCCCAGGCCCAGAGTTCAGGCCCCACGACTGGACCAAAAAAAAAAAAAAAATTCCTCAGACTTCTCCTGCCTGAGCTAGCTTCAAACTGCAATACTTAGATCTCAGCCTCTTATATAGCTAGGATTATAGATGTAAGCTACTTGCACATGGCTCTAAGATCACCTTATGTACAAATTTAACAATAATCTTGGACTTCTTTCTATTGTTATAAACTGCTTATATAGCATATCCCAGTAAAACAGAAATATAAAATTACGAAAGTCGGTACAAGAAATGGTTATGCATTTCCTTGGTCCTAGCACTCAGGAGGTTAAAGCGGAAGGATCACAAGTTCAAGGCCATCCTGAGCTACACAGCAAGTTCTAAGTTCCAAGCCAACCTGAGTTATATACAGTGGCTCAAAACCTTAAAAAAAAAAAAAAGGTTACGTAAGTAAACTTATAAAAACCCATATCTAGCCATTTAACTATAGCATCTCTACAACTTTCCTCGTTTTCCTTAAAATAAATAAATAAATAAAATTATTAAAAAGGCATGATAGAGAGTCAGGTGCCAGTGGCTCATGCCTGTAATCCTAGCTGCTGAACAGAAATCTTAGGATTGCAGTTCAAAGCCAACCTGGGCAAGAAAGTCCATGAGACTCTTATCGCTAGTAAACTATTAAGAAAAAGCTGAAATGGCACTGTGGTTCAAGTGGTAGAACACTAACCTTAAACACAAAGAGGCTTAGAGAGAGCACCTAAGCCCTGAGTTCAAGCCCCAGAACTGGGCACCAAAAAAAGGCATGATAGCTTACTTTCTAAGCACAAGGCTCTGAAATCAAACCCAAACATACACAAAAGTGAGAAGTTCTAGTGTGCAGTTGAATGATAGAACACTTGGACAGACCCCGGATTTGATACCTCGTTCTACGAAAAGTAAAATGAAAAACAAAAAGAAGAGGAAGCAGATTTAAAGTATATGAAACCCACTTATAAATATTACCAATGTATTAAGAAATATTCATGAGAACAAGAAGGTTTATAACAGAGTTTCTGGATAAAAAACACACAAGCCCTTTTTTTGGTGAGAGAAATGGGGAGATACTAGGGATTGAACCTGACTTTGTGCTTGTAGCAAGCTCTATACACTTGTGCAGACTGCCTAATTATAGAAAGATCTTGGCAGACAGCAGGAAAAAGCCACAAAGAGGTACTAATGGCTACCTTTCCTGTTGGGGGCTGGGGAGCTGGGGAGGAACCAGGGGCCTCACCCATGCAGGGAAAGCACTTTACCACTCAACTATAGCCCAGGCTTTCTAAGGCCTACACTCTAATATTTAAAAAATAAGTAAGTAAAAATAAATAAAAATAAATTAAGTAATTAACAAATAGGTATACTAATGGGAGAAGTAGGGATTATCCTGATGTCCAAAAAATGTAAAAATATCTAAAATATTCAATACAATCAAAAAATTCATAGCTTCTAATAAATACAATTTAAGAATGCTGAGTGGCTTTATGAAAGATTTCATACCTGAAGGCTGAAAGCTATTCATACTAGAATTCCATTACACAACAATTCCTTTACTACTTTTTTCTTTTTTTCTTTTTGCCAGTCATGAGGCTTGAACTCTGGGCCTAAGTGTTGTCCCTCAGCTCTTCAGTTGAAGGCTAGCACTCTACCACTTGAGCCATAGCGCTACCTTGGGTGGTTTATTGGAGATAAGAGTCTCACGGACTTTCCTACCCTGGCTGGCTTTGAACCACGATCCTCAGATCTCAACCTCCTAAGTAGCTAGGATTACACGTGTGAGCCACCAGTACCTGACTCCTTTACTACATTTTAAATCCTTTTTAAAATTTTAATTCTTTATAAATTCTTCAAGTGTAAGAATTTCACATTATGTGTAAAAAGTCTGTGATACATACTTCAAGAACTGTCCCCAAATCCCAAGACCCTTCAATAATGTAAGTTTATCAGAATTTCAGAAGAAAAGAGGGCCAGTAAAGGGAACCAAGAAAGCATGGAGAACAAATTAACCAACTAGGACTTCCTCTTCTGCCACACTGAGGGGAGAAAATCCATGAGGAAAACTGAAGGAAGAACTTCTGAGCTATGAATTAAGCCTCAAATGATTTTACTTTTAAATACTGCATTGACATTGTACATTGACTGATTGTACATTTTATAATTTTTTTTAATTTAATTTAATTTTATTTGTGAACATACTGTACAGAGGGGTTACAATTGCATGGGCAGGATAATGCATACATTTCTTACCAAGCATTGCAGCCTCCTCCTTTGTTTACCCTTCACATCACTTCCCAGCCTCCCCCCCCCACATTTTATAAATTTATTAGAGCGAGCCAGCACTGCTGGCTCACACCTGTAATCCTAGCTACTCAAGAGGTAGATATGTGAGGATCATGCTTCAAAGCCAACCTGGGCAGGAAAATTCCATAAGACTCTTATCTCCAGTTAATCACAGAAAAAGCTGGAAGTTGAGCTGTGGCTCAAGTGGTGGATTATGAGCCTTGAGCAAAAGGAGCCCAGGGATAGGGCTCAGGGCCAGAGTTCAAGTCCCAAGAGCAGTTAAAAAAAAAATTGTTCTTACAAAAGAGAGTCTGGCACCCATGGCTCACACCTGTACTCTTAGCCATTCAGGAGGCTGAGATTCCCAGGCAGGAAAGTCCACGAGACTCGTCTCCAATTAACCAACATGGTAGAACACCAGCCTTGATTAAAAAGCTAAAGGACAACACCCAAACCCTCTAGTACTGGCACATACATACCTACATACATACATACATGCTGTTGATCTTCGTCTAGTGCTGAATTTTTTAAAAAGGCAAAAAAGGTGGTAATGTATGTGTGACAAAAAATGTAAACTGAGAAAACATGTATCTATTTTGCCAAAAGAAACAAAGGAAGAACAAATCGGAAGCAAAAAATGAGAACAGAAAAAGGGTATGTGCAATTGGGTGGGTAAGATTAATGACATTACTCTGCATATATATTGTATTTTGACTCAGTGGAACTATCCATATTAGTATTTTACAAATTTGTTAACATAAACTAAAAGGATGGAGGAGAAAACCTTAAATGGAAAACAAATATACCTACTTATATTTCAAGTGAACAATCATGTGCAAGCAGTGCACAAGGCAGGTAACTTTTGAATACAAGACTTTGACTTTCAATCCTCAATTAGAAATAAAGATTGTCAGGTATGGTAGTGCATACCTGTAATCCCAGCACTCAAGGGACTGTGAAATGAGGATTTTGAGTTCAAGGCCATCCTGGGCTCCAGAATTCTTATATAAAAAATACTACAAAGGCAAAAGGCAAAAAAACAAAAAGTCCAAAAGCAAAAACATTAAGCAAATACTAAAAATTTTTTTATGTATTTCTCTTTTTGCTGGTGCTAGGTTTGAACTCAGGCTCTTGCTCTTGCTTAGCCTGAGCTAGTATACCTCTTAATCTATCTTCAGATATTTTTTACACATATAACTTAGGAGGCACTGAACAAATAAGAGATCTGAGGATCGAGGTTCAAAGCCAGCCCTGGCAAGAAAGTCCATGAGACTCTTATCTCCAATAAACCACTAGAAAGCCGGAAGTGGCACTGTGGCTCAAGCAGTAGAGCACTCGCCTTGAACTGAAGAACGCAGGGACAGCACCCAAGCCCAGAGTTCAAGCCCCACAACCAACCAAAAAAACCCAAAAAAGTAGTCATCCATTTCCTAGAAAATACACATTTAATCAAGCTGTAGAAAAACTAAGTAAAAAGAACATATGGGCTGGGAAGGTGGCTCAGTGATAGAGTGCTTGCCTTGCATGCATGAGGCCATGGGTTCGATTTCTCAGCACCACATAAGCAAAAAGAAAAAAGCCGGAAGTGGCGCTGTGGCTCAAGTGGTAGAGCGCTAGCCTTGAGCTGAAGAGCTGAGGGACAGCGTCCAGGCTCCAGAGTTCAGGCTCCACCACCGGACTCAAAAAAAAGAAAAAAAAAAAAAAAAAGAACACAAACCCGGCTTCTCTATCACTGAAGTCCACAGCACCCCTTCCTCCTCTGATTACAAATCCCTCTTCCCTTTTCTCCCTCCTCTTCTTGTATGTGTTAGTGTAAGGCTCGATCTGCATAGTTGTGTCCCCTTTCTTCAGTAAAATAGTTCATTT